CTGAAAACAACAAAACAAAAGGAAAAAAACATCCCAAAACAAACAAAAAAAGGGTGATGTGATAGCAGTGGTGTTCTGGTAAATATTTAACAGTCGGCCTTGGTTTGTAGCATTTGTCATTGTAAATACTCCCACCATGCCCAATTTCAAGCTGCCAAGTCATGTCATCAGGTTTGTAACATTTCTTGAAAATTTAACAATTGGCTTGGGAACAAGCTGGCTCTAATACACCACTGTGTGACAGTGACTGAGGGGGCTAAGTTTGGGTGGGTATTCGGGGAAGGCCTGAGAAGATGTCATCTAAGGACGACAGACAAGAAGCCAGACATAATTATTGTGAGGGAAATGCATTTCTATTAGAAGGCATAACAAGTGCTAAGGCCCTAATGTGGGAAAAAAGCTTACTATGCAGAGGAGTTACTAAATACTCTCTTCCTTCTGTGAATGCCTATGAGATTTGCAATGAGATGTCAAAGCCTATTGAAGATACTTTAACAGTGATACCGAAACTTGCTGTTTGGTAGTAACGTCTTGCCTTTTTATGTATAGAACTATGTTTCCTTATCCTTGTAAAATGCAGAACATCTAGTACAGTATTCAGGTAAACATCACCCAATGAGTAGCTCCACCTATTCGTCTCAAATTATGGCACTCAGACCTCACAAGTATATTAAAGTAAGGGGTCCTGCACTTGCTGAACTTGCCAGTCTGGTATTAACTACAATAATATCAACTGTAAGCACCTTAGTAGAAATACAAGCTTTATTAGATGTGTTAGGGCTCTAACCAAAATCGGCAATTTAGCTTTCTTATTCTGGTGTGAAGAAAGCACAATGAAAGAATCCAGTCAGCAACGTGTGAACAGAGCACGTGGCATGGCTCCTCCCAAAGAGTTTGTAATCTGGTTGGGAAAACAGCACAAATACATATAACATAATTGAAGAACAACTACTTAAGGTAGTAAAAGATCATGTGTTATCTATCAAATGCCAATATTAGCGGTACAAACACACATGTAAGGGAAATGCTGTATGTGCTAAAAAAAAAAAAAAAAAAGTGGGGAAAGCTTTATGACAACTTCATGGGGCTCAACCTGGGTCAAAAAGGATTAACTGAATTTAGCTTTAGCTGAAGATGGGAAAGCGGGAAGTAACTGAAGAGAACAGACTGGGGAAAAAAGGCTGTAGTGATAAGAATTAGATTGGTTTCTTATAAAGTGAGTTAAACTGGGGAAAAAAGGAAAATCAGGTTGGACAGATAAAAATAAAGCCAGCCTGAGGAATAAAGTAGCTTGGAGATTGCGGATATTCTCCTATAAGCAATGTGGGTTCCTGAGAGGGGTGGAGATGGAAAGGAATTTAATGAAGACGCTGTTGCAGGAAAATCAGTCACTATGCTTTCACTGTCAAGGAGAACCCCTCAAGCTCAGTGGCACATGCCACATAACGGTGCAGGCGAACATTCACTGAGATTATTTCAATAAATTAAGTCTACCTTAATCTCTAGAATCTGTGCTGACTGAATCTTACGAAAAATGGTAGTCCTGGTTACATGTGAATATTTCCATCTAAATAGCTCTATCCTCTCCTCAAGTCATCCCAGAAAGGCAGGAAAGAATAGCAGGACTTAAGTCTGTTGGGGAATTTATTTCATGACCTAAAATTACAAAAGATGCATCTCAGTGATCACATTTTCTGGACTAAGAATTGGTACAGATCTTGTACAACAGAGAGCCAGCGTAAGCACGACTGGGCTGGGGTGGACCAAGATGCAGCCAACTGGCTCCAGACATACAGGCACTTACCTAGCAATTCCTTCCTTGGTGTAGAATACAGAGTAGGTGAGGTTGTCTCCATGAGGATCTGACGCAGGTGTCCGCCATGTCAATTTGATGAAGCGAGTAGAGACCAGGGAGGCCACCACATCCCGAGGAGCTGAAGGCAATGGTCCCGTTGTGGCTGGTGCTAGATGGTCAGTAGTGGCACTGGTCAGTGAAGTGGGAGGTAATGTTGGGATGGCAACATCTTGTCATGTGCAAACATTGGGGAATATGAAGGGCAAACCACGACGGTTTTAAAAAAGAGAACAGAAAAAACAAAAACAAAAAAGAAATAAACAAAACCACGATGGGAAATAAAATAAAATGAATGAACATAAAAAAGGCCATTAAACTGAAGGCTACCATGCAGGCCAGGGGTAACTACTGAAAACTAATGGGCGCTATTCCAGACACATCACTGTAGAGCAGGCAGACCTTCTGGCCACTATGATGGTTATGGGCAAGGGGCAGGGAGTGTGATAGCTGAGAATAAAACACCTCACAGAAGGACACAGCAGTGTCCAAGTAATTTTCTTAATCCTGAAAGCAGCACGCAACATCTGTCAAACTTTGCCTATAAAAGTCTCATAAATGACACCTCAATATTTTCTTCTACTTTAACACATGGCATGTGTTAGCATGGACGAGCCCAGTTACACTCAATACAGGCCCATGGCTACCGTGACTTCAGAACTGTGCGTGTCTTCAGCTCTGCAGGAGATTCGAGAGCCACATCTTCAACTTCAATCTAATATTAAACCCTGCTCTCTGTATTAGGCAATACAGGGTAAGCTGACAGACTTCCTCACTTGGCTAAGTTAAATTTCACTTGCTATCTTATCAATTCATTTAATTATGATGGTATAAAATCCTGAATCAAAAATTCCAAAGCCACAAAAACACAATAGTTAGGCAACTTATTCATTTCTTATGATCCTCACTGCAATGTACATTAAAATGGCTTGCAGACCTCCGGGACTGGATGGGAGAGATGAAGCAGTGGCAAGCCAAAGCTCTGCTAGTCAAAGCCTCTGCTGGTATACCTGCAGTCATGGGTAACTTTATTGCCTCCTAGGGCAGGCCATTCTATCGTTGGAAAATCTTGACTATAGAAATTTATTCCTAATATTGCACCTAAAAAGGGTCCTTCGCTTTGGGGTCAGAAAGTACAAGTTTAATCTGAAAATTTTAAACTAAGAATTTGTCAGAACTGTGTCAAAACCTTGATGGGGAAATTAGTAGGAGAGAGGCAGAGAGGAAAACATGAAAACTGTGGACCTAGTTTTGAATGAAGTGGTAGGGCAACAACCTCCTGGAGATGTCTGTGAGTGAGGCAGTCTAAATAAATATGCCAGATGTAATTAATTCTCTAATAAAATTTCTAGATAAGTGGGGAAGGAGAAAGAGTAATCCAATAGCTACCATTTATTGAACACTTTTCACATGGCACTCTGGCTCTTAATATCGATGATTCAATCCCTACACAGCAACAATATGAAATAGGTATAATACTATCATTATATCTCTATCTTATATGTAGACACTGACAGGGCTAAATCACTCACCCTAGGCCAAAGATAACAAGTGGTGGAGTGGTAGAACCAACTTTTAGTTTTGGTTTTTAGTTTAAGAGGCCTCTGTATTTAGCCAATATAAGTCTGGAAACTTGCGTTCCAGTCCTGGCTGTGCCACCTTGGCCAAGTCACTTGAGAGCCAAGTCTCGCTCTCTCCTTTTTTCCTCTCCCTATGGAAGTGCTTTCAGGAGTGTAGACGCTATCAACCTATACGATTATGCAGTTCTAGTTCAGATACACACTTCACTGAAACAAGTGTCAATATTATAAAAAGTCTGAATGGCTTCTGAGGCCTATTGTTATCCCATGCACTTCAACAGATGTGTGGCCTCAGAGGAAGTAAATACCTCTCATTCACAGCCTTCAGAGTTCTTTTTCATATACTGTGTCAGTTTATTCACACAACAACCCTCTGGGGTAGGTGGAAAAGACAAGATTAGATGCTGGGATGGAGGTTAGGAAGGAGTCAAGGACTTAGTTTCTGGCTTAGGAGACTAGGTAGTTGGAGGTGTCATTAATGGAGAAAAGGAATATTAAAAGAGACAGCAGATTGAGGGGGAGATGATGAATTCAGTTTTGAACATGCTGTGTCTAAAGTAACAATACAAAATCTACAGAAGAAATGTATAAGCAATTGAAAATTTGGATCTCTGATTATTGTGAAATTTAAAATCATTAAAAACCCTTGGCCGGGCATGGTGGC